CCAAAGAAAGGACATCCGCATAACTGAAAAAGTCAGAGAACACGAATTCTTTGACTTGTTTGGCTTTCATCCTTGGCTTCGTTCTTTAACACCTACCATACTTTACTAAGCCTATTGGGATAATTTTTGTTAGGACATGGCTTCGGTACTCTCAAAAGGAGCTATAAGAAATCTACTCGTATAAAAAGTACCAAGAAAAGAGGTCATCTGCTCTCCCCTTTTATCAAGTTCTAAACCGATACTTGCTGATCTCTCTAATCTGCCACAATGCAATCTAGACCAGGTGGTGCTGCAGCAAAAAAAAAAAAAAAAGCAGATTGAACAACTCAAAATGATTCAGACAAGTGAATCAAACATGAGTTGAATGAGAAGATCAAAGCAAAACTTGCTTTATTTTGTGTTTCAATGGGAATATGGGAACATTTGATTTAAAAAAAAAATTGAATACGTATATTTGTATATGTTAATTGGTTTATCAAACTAAAATATACAAAGTTTATGGAACGGTTAAGTAATGTGGAGGACTAAAATAGGCAAGCATGAAGTCTCATAGGGTAAGGAATTAAAAAAAAAGTCAAAAGAAGATATGAAATGCTTCGGTATAGCTATAAAAAGCCATATGTTTTTGGAAGTCTGTTGGGAATTGATGTGCTGTGCAAATTCGTGTCATAATGAAGTTTTTCACCAAGTGGAGTCAGTTGATGTTCTCCAACAAGTAGCTAGCATTCCTGATTTATTTGCTGTATCCACACTCAGCATTTGTTTATATCTTTGCCAGGTTTGGTAGATCAAGCTTGTGGTATTCCACTGCCAAGGAAGCAAGGGTCTCCCTCATGAATTTAGAAAACAGTTATATACATGGATTTTATTGCCTCTCACCTGAAGCTGCAAAGGATTTTCAGTTGTTCAGAACTGAAACTGGCATCTTTGGATTTCTTCAACAGCTGCAGACCCCGGTGAGAAACACCCAGTATCTGGACATCACTTCCATTTTCTCCCTATCAGGAAGGGAACAGACGGCAGCAACAAAATGGTTGACAAAATGTTTGCTCAAGCAGCAAGGAAACTTTTGTGAGAGTTGCTTTGGTGGACTATCTGAAGAGTTGGACTCTTTGGACCAAATGTTTGATGGATGAAAACTGCAGTCTCTTGCTCTGTTTCAGGCCCCTGGGCCAGAAGAAAGAGGAACACAAAAGAGGCAGGCCAGGTCTACCCTTGACAAATTATTCCCTCGCACAGTTCTTAGCATGCACACACACACACACACACACACACAAATCCTTATCTTTTTTTCATTCTGAGTTTTGCAGTTTTACCCATCCAGATTAAATGAGATGACGGGACAAGAGAAAATTCCAGGTGAAGAAAAAATATTGCTTATCTGACTTGGCTCAGCTGTACAGGGAAAGCCAACCAATAATCCTTTAATCTATAAACTATACTTAAACAAAGTAGGGTTTAGCAGAAGGGGTTAATCCAATTAAATTATTAAAAAAAACAGACAGTGTGGTATAGTGGCTAAAATGTTGGGTTAGAGACAGTGAGGCCTAGTTCTCCCTTAGGCAAGGAAGCCAGGTAGGGGTGTCTTTGGGCCAGTCATTCTCTCTCAGTCTGACCCACCTCACAAAGTTGTGAGGAAATTAGGAGGGGGGAGCATTGGGTATGAATCTGCCTTGAGATGATAAAAATGGAGAGGATAACAAACAAACAAAAAGTAGTATGATCTGGAGACAGGCTTAAACACGATGCCTAAACACTTTCTGGTGTGGTCTACCTACCTATCTACTCACACAGTCTACCTTCGTATGGTCAGTTTTCAACAATGTCAGCCTTCACTGCACAGGCAATCTTTATGTAGCAGAAAGCTTGGTCCAGAGGGGTGCCCTGTTATTGATTTGCCCATAATAGCTGAAGCCCTGAGGGGAAAGTAACCCCTAAATCTTAGTGGAAGGACATAACAGGACTGTCGCATTATAGAAGGCTGAGGTAGGCAAACTTACTTTTACTGGGAAAAGGCGAGAGAAATAGCTGGCCCAGTTATCACGAGCAGCCACCACAATTCTTTTCTTGATTCCTTCTTCTGTGATGGAGCTGACATCCATGCCCACGTGGAATTCAGCTGATGGCAACAAAACAGAGAAAAAGCTTAATCAGCAGGCTCAGATTATGGATCCCTGATGGAAGCAAGCTACAGAGATGACTTTAGCACACTTAGGAAGCACATCAAAGAGTGCGCTGTTTCTAAGGACAGTTTGCAAGCAGGGATCTGGTGTTCTGCAGCCAACATTAGAGAGCCTTCTCTTGGAGCTGGTAATAAACCATTAAATTTGCATTACATAGATTGTTTTAATAGTCTAAAACTTTTGGTTATATTTTATTCATGGGAATTTGTGGTTTGGAGATAGCAATGGGACTTGAGAATCTCTCCTCCTTTTTGAATGAGGAGTCATCAGAATCTGGAATAGGTCCAGCAGAAGGAAACATGTGACTGCTTGTACATGTGAAAGATAGCAATTTTGTGGCTGAAGGGAGAAGGAAGAAATGCAAGTTTCTAAGTGAAACTCTGGGTGCAACTTCAGAGGGCTACCCATACTGTTTCCTGGCTTTTAGAAGTACTTGTTTGCTTTCACTTATCTTTGCAAATAAAGCAGACATTTCAAAACTCTAGGGCAAATTCACTTCAAAGAAACAAACCCCAGAAACACTGTTCTGGGACATTTTTTTTTCTTTTGGAAGAATAGGAATGCATATATAACTGTGGTGAGATTAGGTTGGATTAAGTAAATGTGGGACATGTGCATGTAAAATGGCTAGCAGAAAGCACTCTGGGTTTTTAAACTTGTGGATCAGGATCGCTTTGGGTTACGCACAGCAGTGGTACCTTTTCCCAACCTCTCTGGAGTGGAAATGCTGGAGAATGATGTGCAGGAAAGAAATTTTATTGCCCAAATGGAAGAAAAACATAATGCCATGTTGCCATGCCCAGAAAGCAGCTAGACTGGCAGCTGAATCCTCTTTTGATGGAAGTGATGCAGAGCAATAATGCCTTCCAAGATACCCAAAAGAAGAGGCTGGCTCCCGGGGTGTAGAATAAGCCCTGTGCCATTGGCAGTGCTGTCTTCCGAAGGAAGGGAGGAACTGGGTTGCCTCGTGTTATTGAATGGAAGGAGAGCCCTGAACTTCTGGATGTTGGGACTGGGCAGAAATTCATCTAACACAATGCTGCTGATTATTTCATTCCCTAAACACAGTTACCACTAAGCAAGGAGCATTTAGAAGTGGGTTATTTGTCTTAGCAGGAGAGTCTTAAGTGGGTTCAATACAGTGGTGGAATTCCAAATTTTTTTACTACCGGTTCTGTGGGCGTGGCTTGGTGGGTGTGGCGGAGGAAGGATACTGTAAAATCTCTAGTCAGAGGTGGTATTTGTGGTTCTCTGAACTACTCAAAATTTCCAATACTGGTTCTCCAGAACTGGCCAGAACCTGCTGAATACCACCTCTGGTTCAATAGCAGATTGTGAAGGCAGAAGATGGTTATCATATAACAGTTCCCATAATTTTAATGAATAAAAGAATGGAAAACAATTTTTCAGTTTTAGATGGAATGTGCATGCCTCCAAGATCCTTGAGGACCAGGAAGGGCACATGGCTTCCTTACTTAACAGGTCTTTCATTTTGCGCCTCTCCTCTTTGGAAATTCGAATGCATGAATCGGAGTAAGTATCTCTCAAGATCTGGGAAGGAACAAAAATGGATTACAATTCAACTCGTAAGACTTACAATGCAAGTGTCAAGCTTTGAGATAGAGCATGTGAAGTAAACCAGGTATATTCTTTGAAAGAGACAAAACATAATGAAGAAAAAAATAAATAAAAGATGGAATCTTGTGATGGAGAGGCTGATGACCAAAATAACAATGAGTCTCTTATCTTTCAGACACAAGTGTGAGCTCTCTCTCTCTCTCTCTCTCCCTCTCCCTCCCTCCCTCTCTCCCTCTCTCTCTCTCACACACACACTTACCTGGTCACATAACAGATTCAAGCAGTAAGGATGACTGAAATTTTCCCTGGGATAAAAAACCTATTGAGGAAGAGATCCAACAGAAAGTTGTTCTTGCATATGTACAAATAAAATCATGACTCAAAATAGCACATGATTGTGTACATTAATATATTCAAACACAATTCATTGAGTGAGGATAACATACAAACATATATTTCATTTTGGGGGAGAAGGAGTGGCTTATCGACATAAAACTCTATACTGGCATAGGAAAAGTAACTAAACTCACCCTATCCTTTTGAATGCTATTCTTCTCCAACCAGTCATACAATCAGACATGTTGCTTCTAACCAATTATATGCTTTCACACTGTAATTTAAAAAGGCTTACTATTTTT